CCTAATATTTGAATAAAAATTAACAGAATTATAAGGAAAACAGACAAAATCATGACGTAAGATTTTCACATGCTTTTCTAGTGATTGTAGAAAAGCAAACAAAAATCATTAAGAATATAAAAAAAGGGATAATTTTGAAAAATTATAAACATGACTAGTGTAGAAAGTTAACAGTGGTTCATAAATTGTATTTTTTCAAATTTTTATATTTCATAAGCTTAGATTTTTTTTTGCTCTATTTTTACTCCTTTTTTAAAAAATTGAAATATGATTCACATAGCATACAATTCTCTCTTTTATAGTGTACAATTCACTGGTTTTTAGTATATTCATAAGGTTATGCAACCATCTCAACTATCTAATTTCAGAATATTTTCATCACCCCAAAAGGAACCTGTACCCATTTAGCACTGATTTCTCATTTTTCCCTCCCCGCCGCCAGCAGCCCTCAACCACCTATAATCTGCTTTCTTTCTCTGTGTATTTGCCTGTTTTTGACATTTATATGAATTGAATCATATAATATGTGTCCTCTTGATTCTGGCTGTATTTATTATTAATCAGTTCTGTTGTATTTGATTTTTAAACAAACAGATTTCTCCTTAAAAAATCAGTATTTTGGGCCAGGTGCCGTGGCTCATGCCTGTAATCTCAGTACTTTGGGGAGCTGAGATGGGTGGATCATCTTAGGCCAGGAGTTCGAGACCAGCTTGGCCAATGTGGTGAAACTAAAATACAAATACAAATACTAAAAATGCAAAATTAGCCAGGCGTGGTGGCCTATGCCTGTAATCCCAGCTACACTGCAGGCTGAGGCAGGAGAATCGCTTGAACCCAGGAGGCATAGATTGCAGTGAGCCAAGATTGTGCTATTGCACTCCAGCCGGGGTGGCAGAGTGAGACTTAAAGTGAGACTCAAAAAAAAAAAAAAAAAAAAAAAATCTTTTGTCCTTTAAAATTATCAAAAAGTGAAAGTTTTCGGCTTTGAAATGGCAGTCACAATTCATTTTCCCCTTTCTTGCAAACGTTAAAAATAAATCCAGTTTAAATGAAATGTAAGTCTGACAACCTCTAAACCTGAAATCAAGGAAGAGCTTTGTTTCTACTTCCACAGAAACAAGTTCTAAATTTGATTAGAGGCATAATGTTCCATATTTTGTTTCCAAAGTGTGAAACTTTCCTGGCTTTACGTCATTTTTATTGTATCTAGATATAAACTTTCTTTGCTAGTTGGTTTTCCTTGTTGCTAATCTTTGTATCTCAGCACTCAGGCCTGCTACTTGCTTTACCAATATAATTCTAAGCTGGCTGAATAAGCAGGATTTAGTTTAAAGGCATTTACAAGTCGTATAATTTAATCATTTTAAGTGAATGGCATGAGTACAAGCAACTTTTTTTTTTTTTTTTTTTTTAGTATCTCTGATGAGGTAACAGAAAGATCTGTACTCAAAAGAATAAATACATAATAGAATCTAAGTACTTAATACTGAGGTCAAGTTAAATTCTCTTATTTAAAATTTTTTTTATTTTTATAAATGAGAGAACTGAAGTGGGAAAAGTTAATTGATGAACCTGTGATCACATAGCAAGTAAGTGTTGCAGCTGGAATTAGAATATAGATCTAAATTTATTTCTGCCTTACTGCTTGGTGTAAAACCCACTTTCTATTTCTATTTTTTCCCACTTTCTATTTTTTAAACATCCAAGTTTACCTTTGAGATGGGCTTTCCTTTTGTCTCTCATTGTAGGTGAGGTTGGTAAATAATAGAACTAAGGAAGGCAGTATGTTCTAGGGCAGTGGTTTTCAAATGTTGGCATGTATCAGAATCCCCTACAGGGCTTGTTAAAACACAGATTGAGGCCTCCTATATCCAGAGTCTCTGATTTAGAAAATATGGAATAGGCCTTGAGAATTCACATTTCTAACAAATTCCCAGGTGATGCCAACGTTGCTGGCCCATGGACCACACTTTGAGAACCACTCCTGAAAAGGCAGCAAAGGCTGTGGAGTCAGTCACTCCTAGGTCTACACTCTGGCTCTGTGACTGACCACTGTGTGAACTCGAAGTGATATGTCTCAGTTGTTTGTACTTTGAAATGGGGATAATAATATTGATTTCACAGAGTCATTTTAAGAGTTAATGTGTTAATATTTTTTAAAAGTTTAGCATGGTACTTGGTACATAGTAAACATTCAATAGATGGTTTCTATCGTTATTTATAATAAGCATGGGGATCAATTAAATCTTTAGGAACCATAAATTCAGTTAGTGTTTTCAAGTAGTTTCTCAGAAACTTTTTGTGACTTTGTCACTTCAAGATGTTGTTAAGTGGCTGGAAGCGGTGGCTTACACCTGTAATTTCAGCACTTTGGGAGGCTGAGGCAGGCGGATCACCTGCGGTCAGGAGTTTGAGACCAGCCTGGCCAACATGGTGAAACCCTGTCTCTACTAAAAATACAAAACTCAGCTGGGTTTGGTAGCAGGTGCCTGTAGTCTCAGCTACTAGGGAGGCTGAAGCAGGAGAATCACTTGAACCTGGAAGGAAGAGCTTGCTGTGAGCCAAGATCGCTGCCACTGCACTCCAGCCTAGGTGACAGAGCGAGACTCTGTCTCAAAAAAAAAAAATGTTGTCAGGTGTTGTCAGGACATACACACACACATACACACACACGCGCACATGCACATGCACACTCATGCATACAAACACATTCTCTTGACTTGCCCTCTTATTATGGTAGACTTGGCAGAAGAAGAAGAGAACAGCAGAAGTGACACAAACACATGGAAGAATGTGGAAAAATTAGAACCCTCATATATAGGTGGTGAGAATGTATGGTATAACTGATTTGGAAAACAGTTTGGCAGTTCCTCAAAAAGTTAAAACATAGAGTTACCAAACTGACTCAGCAATTCTCCTAGTTATTTATATAACCAAAAGAATTGAAAACATGTTAACACAGTAACTTGAACACAAATGTTTACCGAAGTATTATTCAAAACTGCCTGAAAGAAACAATCCAAATGTCCATCAGTTTATGAATGGATAAACAAATATGGTATATCTGTACTATAGAATATCTATTTAACTAAAAGGAATAAAGTTGGCCAGGCGTAGTGACTCACACCTGTAATCCTAGCACTTTGGGAGACCGAGGCGAGTGGATCACCTGAGGTCAGGAGTTGGAAACCTGCCGGACTAACATGGTAAAACCCTGTGTCTACTAAAAATACAAAAATTATTATTTTTTTTTAATAGGCATGGTGGCATACACCTATAGTCCCAGCTACTTGGGAGGGTGAGGCAGGAGAATCACTTGCATCCAGGAAGCAGAGGTTGCAGTGAGCTGAGATCATGCCATTGCACTCCAGCCTGAGTAACAGAGTGAGACCCCCTGTCTTGATACTTGTTAGAGTGTGGTTGGGCCCAAAAACATACTGCTAAGTGAAAAAAGCCAGACACAAAAGGCTACATATCATAAAATTCCATTTATATGAAATGTCCAAAATAGGCAATCTATACAGATAGAAAGTAGATTAGTGGTGGCCAGGGGATGGGAAAAAAGAACAGTGAGTGACTGCTAATGGGTATGGGGTTTCTTTTTGAGATGATAAAAATGTTTTAAAATTAGATAGTAGAGATGGTTGCACAGCCTTGTGAATATTCTAGAAAACACTGAATAGTATAATTTAAAACATTTTATGGCTTATGAGTTATACCTCAAAAAACCCAAAATGCATACCTCCGTATGTGTGGACATGAAGCATGAATGAGTAATAAACCTTTTTTGTTATTAAAAATAATTGTGGGGAAGAGGAGCAGTTTCACAGTGAGAAAGACATTCTGTGAAGTATACTATCCTACTAGAGTTTCTAGTATCCTAGAGAAGAGTGGATCTCAGGTTTTAGTATACGTAGGAACCCCCTGGAAAGCTTGTTAAAACAGGTTCCTGGTCTTCACTCCAGAGGTTTTGGGTACAGCCTGAGAATTTGCATTTCTGATGAGCTTTCAGAAGATCTGATTTTGTAAGATTGAGAAGTAAACTTTGCATGGCATCTTTATAGGTTAGACATATCCTCTACTTAAATGGGTGAATTTTATGACATGTGTAATATATCTCAATAAAGATGCTAAAGCATTGCTATAAAGATAGTAAAATGTGAGTTTTAGTGTTTGTTAATGGCAAGACAGTGCTCCGTAAAGGAATTGGTTTAATTATTAATTTCTTCATTTGTGCAATGTATCACTATCCTGTATATATAGTACCATTTAGGGTTGTGGTGAAAATGAGGTTACGTGTTCTTTTTCAAATGATGTTCTGTGGGTAAACACGTTACCTTAAAAAAAAAAAAAAAAAAGAAGAAGGCCATGACTACATTGAAGGTTTTGTAATTAACCAAATGTTTTCTTACACTATCAAAACAGTTTAAACTTTAAAATATTGTTTTCTGTCTTTTTAACTTTGGCTGAAAAACATTTCTCCCTTGATTTTCTTTAGTGGTGTATTTTAAGCATTATTTTTGAGAAGTTATAATCTATTTCCCCTTCCTATAATTTTTTTTGTTGTATTAAACCTCTTGAGATTAAGTGTGTGTCTGTGTGTGTGTGTGTGTGTGTGTGTGTGAGATGGAATTTCGCTCTTGTTGCCCAGGCTGGCATGCAATGGTATGATCTTGGCCCACCACAACCTCCACCTCCCAGGTTCAAGCAATTCTCCTGCCTCAGCCTCCCGATTAGCTGGGACTACAGGCTCATGCCACCATGCCCAGATAATTTTTGTATTTTTAGTAGAGATGGGGTTTCACCATGTTGGCCAGGATGGTCTCGAACTCTTGACCTTGTGATCCACCCGCCTTGGCCTCCCAAAGTACTGGGATTATAGACAAGAGTCACCATACCCAGCCCCAATTAAATATATTATTAATGTGACATATGAAATGCATGTCTATAGTGTTAAAACATTTTTTCATGACTTTATCATAATTGTTCCTTTATTTTAGATGAGGTGGAGGACTCTCCTGCTACAGTATTGCTTTCTCTTGATTACATTTCTACTTACTGCTCTTGAAGCTGTGCCTATAGACATAGACAAGACAAAAGTACAAAATATTCACCCTGTGGAAAGTGCAAAGATAGAACCACCAGTAAGTGAAATGAAGCGAAATGGGAGGAAGTATAACTAAATGAAATGAATTATGATTATAACTAAATGAGGTAAAATGAGGTGAAATTATAACAAAATGAAATGGGAGGAATTATCACAAAAATATTGCTAATATTTATTACTTATAAAATTGTACACTTGGCAACTATTTCTGAAATAGCAGTGAAAGGGTGTTAGACAAGCATATGCTGTTTACTATTAGACAATATTTATTTAATATAGTTAGTATATTAGCTAGAAGAATTAATCATAATACATTTCCAATGCAGAGCTTACTAGCCAAGAAAATGCTGTATGATATTCAAAGCAGAAACAGATAACAATGGGGAGAAACCAAAATGGTAAAATCTTCTGAATTATATAGAAAATCTACTGGACTAGAGAGTGTTGTAAAAAAGAAAAATCTACATTTATGTAACAATAAAAGACGATATTGGTTCTGATATAAAACCATTTCAGAAATATAACTTTTCACTTTGTTGAAACTATCAAAGTAAATATGTCTCAATACCATTTTGCTAGAAATTATTTTTCAGTATTGACCTCTTTAGATTCAGACAAGGAAAAACCTGCAGAAGCGTTACTGTTTGTTTCTTTATTTGAAGGATACTGGACTTTATTATGATGAATATCTCAAGCAAGTGATTGATGTGCTGGAAACAGATAAACACTTCAGAGAAAAGCTCCAGAAAGCAGACATAGAGGAAATAAAGGTAAATGCAATTAAGGAATATATATATATATATATTTAAATTTTTTTTAGAGATGAAGTTGCTCCATATAATCCAGGCTGGCCTTGAACTCCTGGGCTCAAGTGATCCTCCCACCTCAGCCTCTCCAGTAGCTGGAACTGCAGGTGTGTGCCACCATACTCGGCTTAAACATTTAACATACATTTGCACATGCCAGGCACCGAGCTAAGTACTAGAAATACAAAGATGAGATTTATTTCCAGCCCTTAAGGAACCCTCAAGGGAAAATCATCCAGAAATAGATTGTGGGATGGATTATACAATGAGTATATAATCTAGAAATACAGAAGACAGACACATAATCTAATACGAAACCATGGGGCAAGGTGGGAAGTCATTCTTCCTGATAGAGATTATGCCAGAGCTTAAAGATGTAACTGAGAATAGGAGAGGGACTGGGAGGCATCCCAGACAAAGGTGCAAGGGTACAGAGGCAAGAGATATATAGGAAACTGGAAGCAGTAACTGTTGCTAGAACCCAGAATGGGAAGTGGAGACCTGAGTGGCCAAAAGATGAGGTTTGGAAAGAGTCACAGCCTCAATGACAGAGGGCCTGTGTATCATGTTAAGGAGTTTGGGTCATTATCTGAGAACAGCAGGAAGTTATTCAAACGTTTAGAATAGGCAAGGTCCTGGTGTTTTAATCAGGTCCAGATTAACAGAAGAGATAATGGGTTATGTATTACATCAGTGAGAGAGGTTTAACCATTTGCCCCGGTACTAAGAACCCTATTTGCTATAATTCCAGCCATAGTCAGCTCTTTAGTACTGATAATAAGAAGGGGAGTTGTAAAGATCTGACATGAGAGATTCTTGTAAAGTCTTTCCTTAAAAGGAAATGAGTAAGTTTAGCTGGGTTTGTCTTAGACTCAGTGAGGAAAAAAAAAAATCCAGTTAATTTTAAAATTTCAGCAAGATAATTTTGTTTGCTTATGTTACTTTTATTTGTTCATTTTTTTACTTTTCGAAAAACTTACATTATGTTTTTCTAGAATCAGAATAAGAAAACTGTGTTTGAAAGGCTCAAACAAACCTTTTATTTTAGTTTCTGTTCCGGGTGCAAACTTCTTTGAAAGACTGATTCCCGTTAGGTTGTGGTATCTGTTAGTGCTCAGGTCTGGCGTTTAGTTCACAGCTCTCCTCCTGGAAGTTATGAGTTTTTCTGGGGAAAAGGTAATAGTGTTATGCTAATACTCCTCTGGAATTGTCTTTGAGGATAATATTGCTCTTCTGAAGGATTAATTCGATCTGTGGAACAAATTTCCTATGGTGAATATATCTGATGTAGAACTTTTAATGTCTTGTATCAGGAATAAGAGCATTATTTGGGGTAACATAGAAAATGTGAATCATGGAAGATAACACATAGAGATATTCAGGCAAAAGAAAATAAGCTTCCTGGATGGGTGCAGGGAATACTTTTATAACTATCTTCTTTCACTTTCAATTCCTGTTTCCTATGAAGTGTTGAGGGAACGAATATAAAGTTAAATAGTTATACAATAAAAAAGAAATGAGGAGCTGGGTGCGGTAGCTCGCACCTGTAATCCCAGCACTTTGAGAGACTGAAGCAGGAGGATGGCTTCTGGCCAGTAGTTTGAGACCAGCCTGAGCAACGTAGCGAGACCCTGTCACTACAAAAAATTAAAATTTAAAATTAATTGATGTAATTAAAATTATCTTTCAAAGTAAAAAAAATTGTCTGAGGCCAGGCGCAGTGGCACATACCTCTAATCCCAACAGTTTGGGAGGCCAAGGCGGGAGGATCAATTGAGCCCAGGAGTTCAAGAGCAGCCTAGGCAACATAGTGAAACCCCAATCTCTACCAAAAATAGATAAAATTAGCTGGGTGTGGTAGTGTGTGCCTACAGTCCTAGCTGCTCAGAAAGCTGAGGCGGGAGGATCACTTGACCCCAGAAGTGTGAGGTTGCAGTAAGGCATGATTGTATGACTATACTACATGAGATGGGAGACCTCATCTCTTAAAAAAGAAAAAAAATGAATAAAACTAGACAATAAAACCCAAACTAATAGAATCATCACAAATAACCAAGCAAAGACTCTTGTTTCATAAAAAAGTTAAGAGTTTTCTTTTTCTTTTTTTTTTTGGTGGGAGGGGGGCGGGGACAGGGTCTCACTGTCACCCAAGCTGGAGTACAGTGACGTGATCTTGGCTCACTGCTACCTCTGCCTCCCAGGCTCAAGTGATCCTCCCACCTCAGCCTCCCAAGTAACTGGGATTACAGGCACGGGACACCATGTCTGGCTAATTTTTGTATTTTAGCAGAGATAGGGTTTTGCCATGTTGTCCAGGCTGGTCTCATACTCCTGACCTCAAGTGATCCCCCTGCCTTGGCCTCCCAAAGTGCTGGGATTACAGGCATGAGCAACTGTGCCCGGCCTCTCTTTCCTTTTCAGCTAAGCATTTTGAAAGGAGAATAATACTGCATTTCTTCACTTCCCAAACATTCCCTAACTGGAAAGGGTATGGTTCCGCCCTCACTGTTCCACTGAATATGCCTTCATGGAGGGTGTCCATGACTTCTTAATTGCCAAATCCAGTGAACACCCTAACACCTTTGATTCCTCATCCTACTGGGCTCCTTTATTTTATCTCAAAAGTTTTCAGATTTTTCAGGGTTTGTTAAAACATATTTCTGGTTCCTGCCTTCAGGGTGTCCAATTCAGCAACTCTAGGGCCTGCATTTCTAAAATTCCGTGGTGATGCTGATGCTTCCAGTTAGGGACTACATTTTGACAACCATTGTTTTACCTAATAATACCATAATAATTATTATTATCTCCTTGAGATATACTGCTCTTTTTGATTCTGTAACAGTATATTCTCCTAGTTTTCCTACTAATCATTCATCTATGAAAAAAGTAACCAAAGGAGACCTAAAAAAGATGAATTTTGAAAAGCTTTTATATATGGAATGACTAATGCTTATGGAGGCCGACTGACTTTTAATTTAATTTAAATGTTCTTTTTTGCTCAGATGGTACTGACCAGCTTAACTTTTTAAAAAAGGCTGGGTGTGGTGGCTCATGTCTGTAATCCCAGCAGTTTGGGAGGCTGAGGTGGCTAGATTGCTTGAGCTCAGATGTTCAAGACCAGCCTGGGCAACGTGGCAAAACTCTATCTTTACAAAAAATACAAAAATTAATCAGGCATGGTGGTATGCATCTGTAGTCCCAGCCACTCGGGAGTTTGAGGTGGGAGGACTGCTTGCGCCTGGGAGGCTGAGGTTGCCATGAGCCATGATCATGCTACTGCACTCCAGCCTGGGTGACAGACCAGGATCCTGTCTCAAAATAAATAAAATAAAATAAAACTTTGTTGACATATAATTCATATACCATAAAATTTATCTTTTTAAAGTGTAAAATTCATGTTTTTTTTTGTTTGTTTGTCTGTTTGCTTTTGTGTTTTTTGGGATGGAGTCTTCCTCTGTCACCCAGTCTGGAGTGCAGTGGCATGATCTCGGCTCACTACAACCTCCACCTCCCCAGCTCAAAGGATTCTCCTGTCTCAGCCTCCTGAGTAACTGACACTACAGGCATGTGCCACCATGCCTGGATAATATTTGTATTTTTAGTAGAGACGGGGTTTCACCATGTTGACCAGACTGGTCTCAAACTCCAGTGCTCAAGTAATCCACCCACCTCAGCCTCCCAAAGTGCTGGGATAACAGGCATGAACCACCGCACCCAGCCATTTCAGTAGTTTTTTTTATATACCCACCGAGTCATGCAATCATCATCACTATCTAATTTTAGAATATTTTCATTTTCTCCAAAAGAAACTGTGTGCCCATTAAGCTATAACTCCTAATTGTACCCTTTCCCCCAACCACAACAAATCTACTTTTTATCTCTATGGATTTGCCTGTTCCGGACATTGCATATACATGGACTCATACAATACATACAATATGTGGTTTGTTGCATATGGTTTCTCTGACTTAGCATAATGTTTTACAGGTTCATTCATGTTGCAGCATATGTCAGGACTTTATACTTTCCTATGGCCAAATAATATACCATTGTATAGATATATTATATTTTGTTTATCCATTCATTAGTTGATGGACATTTAGGTTTCTGCTTTTTTGGCTAGTATAAATATGCAGCTATGAACATTATGTTTAAATTATTGTGTTAACATGCTTTCAGTTCTTTTAGGTGTATATCTAGGAATGGAATTGTTGGGTGATGGTCCCTTTATGTTTAACTTTTTGAGGAACTGCCAGACTGTTTTCTGAAGTGGCTATACCATTTTACAATTTAACCTTTTGAGTTTCTGCATTGTGCTTTAATGATGTTTTTCTAAATTATATGGTTCTTCAGACATCTTGATTTTAGAATTAAAGCTAATCTTGGCTCACTGCAACCTCTGCCTCCTGAGTTCAAGTGATTCTCCTGTTCCAGCCTCCCAAGTAGCTAGGATTACAGGCATGCATCACCACACAAAGCAAATTTTTGCATTTTTAGTAGAGACGGTATTTTGCCACATTGGCCAGGCTGCTCTCGGACTCCTGACTTCAGGTGATCGCCTGCCTCAGCCTTCCAAAGTGCTGGGATTACAAGGGTGAGCCAACCGTGCCCAACCCTGAAGCTAATACCTTTTGAAAGAAATTCTTTTTATAATATTAAATTGATCTAAATTAGTCAAAAGCATTTATCACTAATGTATTATAACCCTGTTTTTAAGCTGTTGCTTTTGTCTCAAAATAGAATGCAATAGATAAAACTAATTAATTAATTTTATTTACAGAGTGGGAGGCTAAGCAAAGAGCTGGATTTAGTAAGTCACCATGTGAGGACAAAACTCGATGAACTGAAAAGGCAAGAAGTAGGAAGGTTAAGAATGTTAATTAAAGCTAAGTTGGATTCCATTCAAGGTAAGTGCTAAACAAAAGGTAGGATTTTTTTTTCCTTTTTCCCTTTGAAATGGGGTCTTGCCCTGTCACTCAGGCTGGAGGGCAGTGGCACAATCACAGTTCACTACAGCCTTGGCCACTTGGGCTCACATGATCCTCGGCCTCCTGAGTGGCTGAGACCAGAGGTGTGTGCCACCGTGCCTCACTAATTTTTTATTAGTTGTAGAGACAGGGTCTCGCTATGTTGCCCAGGCTGGTCTTGAACTCCTGGGCTCAAGCAATCTCCTACCTTGGCCAAAGAGCTGAGATTACAAGGCATGAGCCACTGGGCCTGGCTAGAAAATTTTAATATTTGGTTGTTGAGGTCAGTTTGTATTAGCACATGCCATCTACGTCTTTCTAGTCAAAATTTTATGTTGGTATTGATTTGGCTTCTCTTAATTTTTAGAATTTAATGTTTTGAATGGATAATACATTTTATATCATTCAAAAATTAGTGCAATTAGCCGTAATTATAGCAATGAAAAGGAAGAATGAAAAGTAATGAATTAAATGACTGATTTAAAGGAGGAAAAATAATATCAGAGGAAAAATAATATCAAAGGAAAGCAGAGAAAGAAAATCTAATTAGAATAATTTTCTTAAATGGAATAGAAAATTTTTCAGAGCTCTAGCCCCAAGAAGAAAACACCAGATCCAGACCATTTGTTTTCTTTCTTTTTTTAAAGAAAATCTTTCGGGAGATGAGTCTTGCTCTGTCACCCAGGCTGGAGTGCAGTGGCACGATCATAGCTCACTGAAGCCTTGAACTTCAGGCAGTCCTCCCACCTCAGCCTCCCAAGTAGCTAGGAGTACAGGCATACACCACCATGCCCTGCTAATTTTTTTAAAATTATATTTTTTAGAGACATGATCTCGCTATGTTGCCCGGGCTGGTCTCAAACTCCTGGCCTTAAGCAATCCTGAGTTGCTGGGATTACATATGCAAGCCACCTTGCCTGACTCTCAGAATGAGGTAGTTTCATAAAGAAAACTATCTGTCTGCTCTTTAATGATTTGAGTGATTCTGTCAAACCATTAAAGAGCAGATTGTCAATTCTATTTAATCTATTCCAGAGCATAGAAAAGGAAGGAAAGCTTCCACATTCTTGTTAATGTATTGATGCCAAAATCAAAATTATTATGTCTCCAAAGAATTTATGTCATAACAGAGTTGGATTTATTTCAGGAATATAAGAATGACTTAATATTAGGAAATCTAATATTATAAATTATCATATAAATAGTCCTAAGGAGATAAAAGTCTTTAAAATTTTGTTGTATCAAAAAAAAAAAAAATCAAAAAACTGTAAAGTCAAAGGACAAATGATAAATTGGAATAAATATTTGAATCCTGTATTCTTTTATTTTTAGGCTATGAGAAGATTAAATAGCTATGAAATAGAATTTCTGAAATGCAAGGATGTCTTAAAGTTATCTCATAAGTCATATGAGATAATTTATGTGCTGTCTCCATGTATTCAGAAAATCCACTCAACAAAATTGAACACCAATTCGTGATTTAAAGTAATAAAATACTTCCAGGGTGAAGATAAGAAAAAAAAAGATTTAAAAAAAAAAGTAATAAAATACTAATTAATAGATACTTCTGTAATACGATTAGCTATATCCAATTCAGTTACATCATACTAAGTGGGAAAGCACAAGTATGTAGCCTGACTGAAATTAGAAACAAGACAGTGTTGTCTACTGTAACCACCACTAAATAACATTGCTTTGGAGGTACTACCCAAAACATTTATTTTTTTTTTAATTTTAATTTTTAATTTTTTTTGAGATGGGATCTCGCTCTGTCACCTAGGCTGGAGCATAGTGGTGAAATCTTGGCTCACTGCAATCTCCGCCTCCTGGGTTCAAATGATTCTCCTGCTTTAGTGTCCAGAGTAGCTTACAGGCTCCCACCACCACACCTGGCTAATTTTTTATTTTTTGTAAAGACAGTTTCACCATGTTGGTCAGGCTGATCTTGAACTCCTGACCTCAGGTGATCCACCCACCTCAGCCTCCCAAAGTGCTGGGATTATAGGCATGAGCCACTGCGCCCGGCCTAGCCAAATTAAAAAAAAATTGGAGGTAAAGTAATTGGAAAGGAGGTGATAAAACCATGTTTTTTCACAGATGATATGATGATTGTATATGTGGAACACCCAAAATAATTAATGGAAAAACTTACTATAAACAATAGGAAAATTGAGCCCCTTAATAGGAAAATTATGGTAAACTTAATCGATAGTAATCAATATTTTCCATATGTACACAATAGTCAGTTAGAAGGTAGAGTTGAAGAAAATGACTCCATTTACAATAGCAACAAAGATTAAATGCCCAGAATAAACTTATTCAGAAATGTGCAGAACTGACAGACAAAAACTTTAAAATACTCATGAAGGATGCAAAAGTATACTTACACAAGTGGGAAGACACAATAACTTTTTGATACAAAGACTCAATGTTATAAACATGACAGTTTTCTCTAGGTTAATGTATAATTTAAATATAATCCCAATAAAAATATATACATTTATTTTTCTGGCACTAGGCAAGTGAAATATATATTTTTTTATTTAGTTTTTTTTCCCAGAAGATTTAGAAATTGACCAAGCGAATTTTTTAAAGCTCATATGAAAAAGGACATACGTAGGCTGGGCATGGTGGCTAATGCCTGTAATCTTAACACTTTGGGAAGCCAAGGTGGGCAGATCACCTGAGGTCAGGAGTTTGAGACCAACCTGGCCAACATGGTAAAACCCTGTCTCTACTAAAAATACAAAAATTAGCTGGGAGTGGTGGTGCATGCCTGTAATCCCAGCTACTTGGGAGGCTGAGGCAGGAGAATCACTTGAATCCAGGAGGCAGAGGTTGCAGTGAGCTGAAATCACTCTATTGTACTCCAGCCTGGGTGACGGAGTGAGACTCAGTCTCAAAAAAGAAAAGAAAAGGAAAGGAAAAGGACACAAGTAAGAAAACTTAGATACCTCTGAAAAAGAACAACAAAGGACTAGATATTAGAAATTGGACCTTTAATATATATTAAATCTTTAATATTAAAGATCAAATTATGTCATTAAGCCTCAGTCATTAAAACTGTATGACTTAGGCAGAAAAGTGGAAAGACCAATAAAACACAATAGAAATTCCAGAAGTGGAGTTAAATATATAACAGAATTTAGTTTAATATAAAGGTGGTATCTCATTATTAGTGGGATGAAGATAGGTCTTTATTTTTATTATTATTATTTAGTTTTTTAGGCAGGTCTCATTCTGTTACCTAGGTTGGAGTGCAGCGGTGCAATCATAGCTCATTGCAGCCTTAGACTCCTGGGCTCAAGAGATTCTCATGCTTCAGTCTTCTGAGTAACTAGGACTACAGTAGTGTGCCACCATGCCTGGCTGATTTTTTTTTTTTCCTGTCTGTAGAGACAAGGTCTCACTGTGTTCCCCAGGCTGGTGTGAGGGAACTCCTGGCCTCAAGTGATCCTTCTGCCTTGGCTTCCCAAAGTGCAGGGATTATAGGTGTATGCCACCACACCCAACAAATTATTAACTAAATAGTGTTGGTATAACTGGCTAGCCATTTGGAAAAAGGTATAGTAAAGCCATGTTTCTTATATCCTATATCAGAATAATTGTAAATGAATTTTAAGTGTAGAACATAAAATCATAAAAGTACTATATGACAGTGTAGGTAAACTTCTTGTATTATCTTGTAATGAACTTTCTAATTATGAGTCAAAATCAAGGAGCAGATTTAGCCAGTGGGAGAGCTTTCAAGCTGGTTCATGTTTCCTTATGATATACTCCCATAGGTTGGTTATCTGGGTGGTTTTTTGTCATTAATAAGCATCTGAACATTTAACTCCTGGAATAGTAGTTCTAAAACTTCAGATTGCATGAGAATCACCTAGAAATCTTGTTAGAAATACAGATTACTAGATCTGAGATTCTGGCCCTGGGAAAGAGTATAGTAATCTACATTTTAAACATATAGTCTTAGGAAACTAATACCAAATACACATCATCCTGAAATTAAGGATATCAATGAGAAGTAAATTGAGTCATGCCATACTATTTGAGGTAATTCCATCCTTGAAGCCAGGCCTAAGATGTGTGGAGATTTCTCTGCCCGGGACAGTATCTTCTTTATTCCAAGATGGGTACTAAATTTTATTACATAAAGAAAACAGTCTAAACTGAGCGTGGTGGCTCATGCTTGTAATCCCAGCACTGTGGGAGGCCCAGGTGGGTGGATCACCTGAGGTCAGGACTTTGAGACTAGCCTGGCCAACATGGTGAAACCATGTCTCTACTAAAAGTACAGAAATTAGCCAGCTGTGGTGGCCCCCAAATGGCTGGGACTACAGGTACGTGCCACCATACCTGGATAATTTTTGAACCCTGGAGGGGGAGGTTGCAGTAAGCTGAGATGGTGCCACTGTACCCCACTTGAAACCGGGAGGTGGAGGTTGCAGTGAGCCGAGATGGTGCCAGTTCACCCCATCCTGTGCAGCAGAGTGAGACTCCATCTCGAGGAAAAACAAAACAGCCTGATATAACTTAGAAACTAAGGAATATTTTCTCATTGATTCAGTATAAATTGAAATATCTGATAATTTGAGGAAGGACTTAAACAGTCTTAATTTTGGGGAGGAGGGTAATTTTTAAAGTAGGCGGGTTTTTTTTTTAATTTTTATTGAGATGGGGCCTCACTATATTGCCCAGGCTGGTCTTGAACTCCTGAGCTCAAGTGATTCACCCACCAATGGCTCCCAAAGTACTGAGTTTACAGGCATGAGCCACCACACCTGGCCCATTCACGTGGTTCAAACATAGAAAATGTAGAGCAAAATCTACCTGACATTTTTTTATCCTGTCAATTTCCATTGTCTTCTAACATCATCCTCTTTGGGTTTATCTATCTATTTATTTATTTGTAAGTTCAATTGAGATGAGGTTTTGCTATGTTGTCCAGGCTGGTCTTGAACTCCTGTTCCTGGCCTCAAGTGACCCTTCTGTCTCAGCCTCCTAAAGTACTGGGATTATAGGCATGAGCCACTGTACCTGATTCTTGAGTTTCTTTATTTGTGTATATGCAAATACAAATAGTTTTTTAAATTGTTCCTCTCTTTTTATGCAAAAGGAAATATACACTTTTATGCATTTTCTTTTAATAATATATTTTCTTTTAATAATAATTTAGATATGCTAATAATATATTTTGAATATCTTTCTGTGTTAGTACATAAAGACCATCTCATTGTTTTTACAGCTGCATAGCACTCCATTATATGGATATACTATAATTTATTTAGCCAGGCTCCTGTCAATTGATATTTAAGTTATTTCTAGTGAACTGTCTTGTACATATATCACTGCGTATCCCTATAAGATTATCTTTAGGATAATTTCCTCCACAGTGAAATTGCCAAATCAAATTATATATATATCTATATATTTGTAATTTTGATAGATTTGCCACATTTGCCTCCATAGAGGTTGTATTAATATATGTACCCACCATCAATAAATCCTCACAGCTTTACTAATGGCATGTGTCATCAAACTTTAGGAATTTTCCAATTCTGTTAGATAGCATAACAGTGCAGTTTTAATATGTATTTCTCTTAGAGTGAGGTTAAGGATCTTTTTATATATTTCACTGTCTGGTTATATTTTTTTAGGCCTAAGTCTTAAAACAAGGCTTTTCTTCATAAGTAGAACTGCTAGTACAGTGCCACACTTAGAATTCAGTGAAAACTTGGTTGAACCAGATTTAGCAGTTCTTCACTTCCTGGCATAACAATATGTTCCAGGATCAACTTGTACCTACCCTGCCCCAGCTCTGGAATAAGCCATTTCTCTGAGGATATATATATGTGTGTGTGTGTGTGTGTGTGTGTGTGCACGTGCACGCACACGTGCACCCATTAAGAAAAAAATATATATATTATTTATATGTTTTTATATATTATTTATGTTTAATATATATATTAAACATATATATTATATAACATATATATATATTTTTTTTGAGACAGAGTCTCGCTCTGTCACCAGACTGGAGTGCAGTAGTGCAGTCTCAGCTCACTGCAACCTCTTCCTCCCGGGTTTGAGCGATTCTCTTGCCTCAGCCTCCTGAGTTGCTGGGACTACAGGCATGTGCCACCAAGCCAAGCTAATTTTTGTATTTTTAGTACAGATGAGGTTTCATGTTGGCCAGGATGATCTCAATCTCTTGATCTCGTGATCTGCCCTCCTTGGCCTCAAAAAGTGCTGGGATTATAGGCATGAGCCACTGCGCCTGGCCAATGGGCAACTATATTTTGGATCAAGAGCTGGCACTAGGTATGCTTCTTGCTACTGGAATGTATTTTCTTGGTACTTTAATCCCACGGAGTTAGGAAATATGCATGTCTATAGACATGCATATACACATATATACACACATACATATTCATATACATATGAAATATTTGCATATACATGTTAAATGTACATATTTTAGAAATGCTGAGTTCACACAGATAGTGCTAATTCCCATTCATCTCTACCAATTTCTTTCTTGCCTTTCACCATTCCATATTTGCATATTCCTTCTTCCTAAATGAAAGCTGATTTCCAACAACTTCAAAACATGTACAGTACCCATTTTGCTGAATTCTATAAGGGCTCATACTGGGTTGTTTCTGGTGAACTGTTTTATGTGTATATCCACTATGTATCCATTACAGTCTCTGCTATGTAATACAACTGAAACAATCCAGCATCACTTTACCCATTTCACTATAGTAAATTGTAACTTGTTTTCTAAAAATTAAAAAAAATTGGTATTTCCTTAAAAGTAAGTCATAATTCAAAGGAATTTGCCTACATTAGATTTTTATTGTTTCATAAAGGATTCATTGGCACAATATGCAGTAAATTCTTTCATGTAAATTTTAGAGCATTTACTTTTAGAAATTCTACTTTAACCTTTGATAGAGACACTATATTAGAGTTTAATTAAAAGCAGGGTATTTGGTAGTTTCAAGATATTCAAAAAGGGTTTGTTATTAATTAAGCTGATAATTAAAACTAGTCATTTTAGATATAACATTAAAGTATGCAAAAGGCCAAGCATGGTGGCTCTGCCTGTAATCTCAGCACTTTGAGAGGCTATGGTGGGAGGATCACTTGAGGCCAGAAATTCAAGACCAGCCTCGGCAATCTCTACCAAAAAAAAAAAAAAATGACCCAGGCATAGTGGCACATGCCTATTGTCCTAGCTACTTGGGAAGCTGAGGTGGGAGGATTGCTTGAGCCCAGAAGGTAAAAAATGCAGTGAGCTATGATTGTACCATTGCCCTCCAGCTTGGGTGACAGAGCAGGACCATGTCTCAAAAAAAAAAAAAAGAGAGAATTTTTAAAAATATACATATTAAATTATATCCCATCGTATTCCACTCTAGGTTCAAGGACACTACATTTGCCTAGAATAACATATGCAGTATTCATAAAGTAAATATAAACCTTTATTCTAAAACTTTGAATTTCCCTATAAAATCTTACAGGTATAAATATGAAATCTTTTACTTATCTATCATTTATAATGTTTTTAGCTTCTAGTAATTGATCATTTACAGTTTTCTCATTTACTTTCAGATATAGGCATGGACCACCAAGCTCTTCTAAAACAATTTGATCACCTAAACCACCTGAATCCTGACAAGTTTGAATCCACAGATTTAGATATGCTAATTAAAGCGGTGAGAATAACTCCAGAAAGCATTGTGTTTATTGTGCCTTTGAGGTTTTGTTATTTGACAAGTAAACTTAATGAAATGGAAATTAACTTCTATATACTCTGTAGAAGATCTTTAAAGGAAGGTAGCTTAACCTTTATTAATACAGATATTAATAGGGACATCCAGGTCTAAAATCTCTTATCTGCAATTCCTAAATCCAAAAGCTATAGAAACTGATATCTGGCTTGAATGAACCAATTACAGTAATACCATTTACAGTTTTTATTTAGTCTACTTAGTGTGAATATTTATAGATTTTCCTTAAGAAATACTAGTCTGTTTGATTACAGATGCTACAGGGATATTCTATAACATGGCATATGTGCCATATTCCCTTTCTTTAAGGTAGAAAATTCTGAAGCACATATGGCCTCAGGGATTTTAGATGAGTTTGTGGACCTCTCACATTATGTGTGAATAGAATTAGTTCCAACCTGGCAGGTATTAGCTTACTTAAGTTAGAAGCCATTTAAAATTTCTAAACTGTCTAGATTTGATATAGTTCCTTTCTTCTTCTTCTTTTTTTTTTTTTTTTTAATCAACTTAAATATTACTTGCTTATGAGGAGCTTCCTAAAGTTGGGGCTGGCTTTGAACTTTTAGTTTCTTTGAATACCTACATCTCTAGTAATAATGACTAAAATTGCCAGGCATGGTGGCTTATGCCTGTAATCCCAGCACTTTGGGAGGCTGAGGTGGGTGGATTACCTTAGGTCAGGAGTTTGAGACCAGCCTGGCCAACATGGTCAACATGGTCAAACCCCATCTCTACTAAAAATACAAAAATTAACCAGGCATGGTAGTGAGCGCCTGTAATTCCAGCTACTCGAGAGGCTTCAGGAGGCTGAGGTGGGAGAATCGCCTGAATCCAGGAGATGGAAGCGGCAGTGAGCCAAAATTGTGCCACTGCACTCCAGCCTGGGCGACAGGTGAAACTTGTCTCATAAAAAATTAAAAAATAAAAATAAACTTGACTAAAATTAAATGGTGGAATTAAAAAAGAGGAGTCCAGGCCAGGCGTGGTGGCTCGTGCCTGTAATCCCAGCCCTTTGGGAGGCCGAGGTGGGTGGATCATGACTTCAGGAGTTCAAGACCAGCCTGACCAATATGGTGAAACCCCACTGCTACTGAAAATAGCCAGGCGTGGTGGTGCATGCCTGTAGTCCCAGCTACTTGGAAGGCTGAGGCAGGAGAATCATTTGAACCTGGGAGGTGCTGAAGTTGCAGTGAGCCATGATCATGCCACTGCACTCCAGCCTGGGTGACAGAGCGAGACTCCATCTCAAAAAAAAAAAGAGGAGTCCAGTATGTTTTTGCCCTCCTGTACCTCTTCTATTCAACAATTTGCTACATTCAAGAATGGCTTTATTTACATTTTTCAAATGCATGTTTTTATTTAACTTAAATGCATTATCGCATTTCAGGCAACAAGTGATCTGGAACACTATGACAAGACTCGACATGAAGAATTTAAAAAATATGAAATGATGAAGGAACATGAAAGGAGAGAATATTTAAAAACATTGAGTGAAGAAAAGAGGAAAGAAGAAGAATCTAAATTTCAAGAAATGAAGAAAAAGCATGAAAATCACCCTAAAGTTAATCATCCAGTAAGGATTGGGACTTTATGAAACCATTTTTAGATTAAGATACTTCTTTGTATTAGCAGAATTTTATCATGTTATTAGTACTTAAATCTTGATTCTTAATTCTCCAAAGTTCCTCAAATTTATATTTTGAGTCTGTACAGATATATTATATTTTGTTTTGAGCAATTTTTTAAAATTGATTCACAGGGAAGCAAAGATCAACTAAAAGAGGTATGGGAAGAGACTGATGGATTGGATCCTAATGACTTTGACCCCAAGACATTTTTCAAATTACATGGTAACAGATTTAATACAAATATATTTGATATTTATATCTATTTGATACAAATAGATAAAATTTGATAACAGATTTGATACAAATATATTTGATATATATTTGATATTTATATCTGCTGTTTGAAAAACTATTTGCTTTCATCTTAATTTCTGCCAAGGTCTGCTATTGAGTTCTAGTGAGAGTAAATGGTTAGGGTTTCCTTTTTTTTCTTCTTCTTTTTTTTTTTTTTTTTTTCTGAGACAGAGTCTCACTTTGTCACCCAAGCTGGAGTGCAGTGGCACAATCTCGGCTTACTCAACCTCTGCCTTTCCTGGGTTCAAGCAATTTTCCTGCCTCAGCCTCCCGAGTAGCTGGGACTACAATCCCATGCCACCACACCTGGATAATTTTTGTATTTTTGGTAGAGATGGGGTTTCACCATGTTAGCCAGGCTGGTCTTGAAGTCCTGACCTCATGATCCACCCACCTCAGCCTCCCAAAGTGTTGGGATTACAGGCATAAGCCACTGCACCTGGCCATGGCTAGAGTTTTTCTAGGGTAATATGATGGCTTTTTTTTTTTTCTTTTGAGATGGAGCCTCACTCTGTCGCCAGATTGGAGTGCGGCCACCTCGCCCGGCTAATATGATAGTCTTATTGCTCACCTTCAGTATAAAATATTTTAGGTTCTTTATCCCTGCTTTTACTATTGAGTCATTATATGAATTATTGCAAAGTTCTCTGTAAACTGAAAACTGTAAACTGTGACTAACTAGATTATATTTAATAGGCTTTATACTATAACATTAAATTGTACTTCTACTCTCATAGAATATTGCTTTACTTTATATTTTTGGAAAAAAATGGTCAAGATATGCTTTCCTCACAAATGATTATGAATTGCAAATAAATACAGCATATTTATCAACTGAGCTGATCTAAAGCTTCATGAAAAAGAAGAAATGCTTTTCTGCAGTCTATTGATGCTTCACATCTGTACTACTTCTGTAAGCCTTTTATAAATCATTGAATTTTAATTATTTATTTTCTAAGGTATTAAAATCTATTTTTGCATCTGTAACTTTTAAACTTTAGATGTCAATAGTGATGGATTCCTGGATGAACAAGAATTAGAAGCCCTATTTACTAAAGAGGTAAATGAGTTTATTAAGTATTCAGTGTTCTTGTTCTCTTTTTTTCCTTCTATTACTTTCTTTCCTTTCATGAAAAGTAATTAAAATTTAAAAAATTTTTCTTTTTAGTTGGAGAAAGTATATGACCCTAAAAATGAAGAGGATGATATGGTAGAAATGGAAGAAGAAAGACTTAGAATGAGGGAACATGTAATGAATGAGGTATATTTTAGAAGTTTAAGATAATATATTGTTTATATATTGCAATAAATCTTACTTTAAGATGGAAAATATACTGAATATGTATTGGAATGGAGTTTGCTTTTTTTTTTTTGGACAGGGTCTTGCTCTGTTGCACTGGAGTGCAGTGGTACAATCATGGCTCATTGTAACCTCAACCTCCTGGGCTCAAGCAGTCCTCTGTCTTAGCCTCCTGAGACTGAGGAAGGACCACAGGCTCAAGCCACCATGCCTAGCTAATTTTTTTTTTTTTTTGAGATGGAGTCTCTGTCGCCCACACTGGAGTGCAGTGGCATGATCTTGGCTCACCGCATCCTCTGCCTCCCAGGTTCAAGTGATTCTCCTGCCTCAGCCTTTTGAGTAGCTGGCATTACAGGCACCCACCATCATACCTGGCTAATTTTGTATTTTTAGTAGAGACAAGATTTCACCATGTTGGCCAGGCTGGTCTTGAGCTCCTGACCTCATGTAATCCATCTGCCTCGTCCTCCCAAAGTGCTGGGATTATAGGTGGGATTACAGGCGTGAGCCATCAGCCTTTTTCTTGTTTGTTTTTGAGACACAGTGACACTCTGTCACCCAGGCTGGAGTGCAGTGGCTCAGTCTTGGCTTACTGCAGCCTCTGCCTCCCTGGTTCAAGCAATTCTCCTGCTTCAGCCTCCTGAGTACCTGGGATTGCAAGCGTGTACCACCACACCTGGCTGATTTTTGAATTTTTAGTAGAGGTGGGATTTCACCATGTTTGCTAGGCTGGTATTGAACTCCTGACCTCAAGTCATCCACCCACCTCAGTCTCCCAAAGTGCTAGCTGGGATTACAGGCATGAGCCACTGCATCAGGCAGATTTTTTTTTAAGAGACAGGTTTTTGCCATGTTGCCCAGGCTGCCAGCTAACTTTTTATGTTTTTGTAGGGACAAGTTCTTGCTATGTTGCCCAGGCTGGAGTATGCATTTTTGATCCAGATTATTATACTAGATGCCTTTAGTATGAATAAAACAATTTGTAACTACTTTAAAACATTCTAAAAGATAAAGATGCTACTGCATATCAGGTATAAAACCTTTTTTTGAGCTGGGTGTGGTGGCTCATGCCTATAATCCCAGCACTTTGGGAGGTCGTGGCAGGTGGATCACTTCAGGTCAGGGGTTCAAGACCAGTCTCGAACTGGTCTCAAACGGCAAACATCATGAAATCCTGTCTCTACTAAAAATACAAAAATTAGCCAGGTGTGGTGGTGCATACCTATAATCCCAGCTACTTGGGAGGCTAAGTCATGAAAATCTCTTGAACCCACGAGGCAGAGGTTGCGGTGAGCCAATATTGCAGCATTGCACTCCAGCCTGGGTGACAGCAAGACTCCATCTCAAAATGAAACCAAAGTAAACCTTTTCTTTGGTACTGAAAAACAAAAAACAACCTCTGGTTACTGCCTCATTGCTCTGTTCTTCTTCAGAGAGTTGTCTATTCTTCCTCTTCCTGTTTTTCTTCTTTCATTTTCATCTTAATCTGTGCTGAACATGCTATAGCCTCCATCATTCCATTTAAAAATCCTCCCATTGGCTGACCTCTATCTTGTCAAATCCATCTTACTTGACCCCTTAGCAACATTTGATAGAGCTGATGCCTCTCTTTCTTGAAATGCTTCCTTCACTTGGCTTTTGGAAAACCACATCTGCTCAGTTTCCTCATACCTCACTCTTTCTTCTTTGCTGGTTCTTCCTCCTCTTTCCAAGTTCTACATGTTGCATTGCCCTGGGCCTATCCCTTGGCCTTGTTCTCCTTTCTAGCTTCATTCTTTGCTTAGGTGATAGTATGGAATCTCATGTCTCTATGTATGCTCTATAGCAGCATGTTTGTTGATGAGTTCAACATTTTTATCTTCAGCTCTCTCCCTTCCCTGAGTACCAGGCTTGTATCTGCTTGACAGTTCTCTTTGCATATTTAATACACATCTTCTCCAGACCCAGATCTGTTCCTTCCCCAGCCTTCTTTATTTCAGCAAGTGAATCATTCATCTAGTTGCTCAGGCTAAGTCATCCTTGACTTCTTTCCCATATCTTACATTTCCTCTATAAGTTCTATTTGATCTATCTTTCAAACAGATGCAGAATTTGACCACTTCCCCCATCTTCCACTACTATTTAATACCAATCAAGTCCAAGCAAGTCTCCTAACTGGCATCTCTGCTTCTATTCCTTATCCCACTATAGACACTTCTTCATAAACAGACAGAGTAAGCTCTTAAAAGCATAAATCAGGTCTTGTGCTCCCTTGTACAGAAATACTTCAGTGGTTTGCATTTTTCCTTGTGATATGATCCTAAATCCCTCCTGTTTCCAAAAGATTCATGACTTTATCCTTGCCTTGCTCTCTGATCCCACGTTCTGTGACTCTCTCCCTCTCTCTCCTCTGGCCACACTGGCCTTTTGATGTTTACCTCTTATCAAGCTTGTTCCCATTTTAGGGCATTTGGACTTAATTTTTTTTTTCTGGAATATACCTTCTCTAGATCATCACAAGGTCTTACTTCCACTGAGTCCATGCTTAAATGTCCATGATCCATCTAATGACCACCCTCATTTAAATAGTTGCCTTTCTCTGCAGTTCTTGCTCTGCCTCTCCTCCCTCCAAGCAAAAAACTCTGATATAGGCATCATTTGCAGGGTAATTGAATCCTACTATTTTGCTTCAATAATTTTCATCTGAATTTTTGAGCTGTAAATGCTAAATTTGGGTCTCCATTGACTGCTGGCATCCCAACTATCAAGGGAATTTCTTTGACCATTATAGATTACACCTTTGTAATGAAATTTGCCACAGGCTGACACAGCTATGCAAGAGGATTTGGAGAGGTTGTCAACTTTAGTTTTGATTTAGGTAATTGTTTTTTAAAAAAAATGTTGAGAGAGTTTTAATTTAACCTCCTTTATTCTTGACTAAAACAGTCCTCTTTCTGGATTGGTTATTTTTCTTACTCAAGAACTTGGCTTCAAGAGGGATTATATGTATTATGGTAAAGGAGGAAGATAATACCAGCCATGTAACTACTCAGATCAGCTGACTGAAACTTAGTGGTTTCTAGGGCATTAGGTATACAGATATCTCATATTTTCCAATTTGAATTCTATATAAGAGAAAGGTATTTATTCTGTAATTCTAGTGTAATATTGAGTGCTCTGTTTTTTATTTTTTTCTCTAGTTTCTGTGGATGTTAGGTGAGTCCTAGTTGCTGTGTGTTTATATAATAGCATCCATTATAAGACAGTTGCTGGTGTCTAAGTAATATGAGAAAGATTTACTTTATATTATGTATATATTTTCTCTTAATCAGGTTGATACTAACAAAGACCGATTGGTGACTCTGGAGGAGTTTTTGAAAGCCACAGAAAAAAAAGAATTCTTGGAGCCAGATAGCTGGGAGGTAATAGAACCTACTCTAAATGAGATGTATTGTTCAACAAAGTCTACATCAGTCCTTTCTACTTTTAACTTTTATTCCCCATTATGTTTTCATGCATAGTCTTAACTACCTTGGGTTTTTCTGTAAATGTCACTATAAAATAATGAACTTGATTTCTTAAAAAGCTTGTAGCAATTTTATTTCTTATTTATAATCACACTGCATAAAATTAGAAGTCTTTTAAAAATTATACTTTTTTTCAAAGTGTGAAATAGGATTCAGTATTGAATATTAGAAATGTAGATACAGTGAAAGAATAAATGAGAATTCACTCAATTTTACTACTCAGAGGTAGATTCTTAAGTTATGCATTGTATTATGTTAATTTGGAATAGTATGCAGTTTGTATATATAGTATATGCACATGTAGCATACAGTATGTAAACAATGTATTTAATTTTAAATTCATACGTATATATTCATATTTATGTATTTAAAAGATGGCTTCATACTATATAAATGACTTTGTATGTTGATGAAATACTTTTTAAAATTTAACAATATTTCACAAACACTTTTTAACGTCATTCTTCAAAAACATGATTTGAAAAATGACTAGTTAACATGCAGTTATATGGCTGTAGCATAATTTATAAATCCATTTCTCCAGATTTAGACATTTGGGGTAAATTCCAGTATTTAACTGTAATGACACTATGATGACTATCCATTTCTTCACACATTTTTGGGCAATCTATAATGATTTCCCTGGGATTAACTCCCAGGAATAGAACTGTTCTTAAGATTTATGAACATTTTAAAAATTTCTCGTTGTATCTTGCCAAATTGCTCCAGAAAAGTATATCAATTTGTAACACAGTCAACTGTGTATAAATGAGTGCACAGACAGCTTGAAAAGAATAGCTGAGAGGCACCAACCAAAATAGACTGAAGAAAGAACATAGCCTTTTTCTACATAAAAACTAAAAAGATTACTATTTAAGTTAAAATTTCAATTGTCCAGAAAATAGTTTGAGAAAGGGTGAGCAACTATTCTAGTTTACCCAGGACTAAGGAATTTCCAAGGATGTGGAACTTTTCATTGCTAATACCAGACATTTCAGGGCAAGTTGGGATATTTGGTCCCTTTCGTTTGATATCAGAAAAGTCATCCTCTTTTTGTATTGAAGTTTTTTTTTTTTTTTTTGAGATGGAATCTCAATCTGTCACCAGGCTTGAGTGTAGTGGTGCGATCTCGGCTCACTGCAACCTCTACCTCCTGGGTTCAAGTGATTCCCCTGCCTCAGGGTCCCGAGTAGTTGGGACTACAGGTGCGCACCACCATGCCCGGCTAATTTTTTGTATTTTAGTAGAGACGGGGTTTCACTGTGTTGGCCAGAATGGTCTCCCATCTCCTGACCTCGTGATCTGCCCACCTCAGCCTCCCAAAGTGCTAGGATTACAGGTGTGAGCCACTGTACCTGGCCTTGTATTGAGTTTTTGTCTGGAAATATGTCTTGAAATGTGTCTGGACTTTGGTGAAGAAGAAGAATGCTAAGATTATTTGAATATACATCCCCTTTAGCGCATCTGGCAGATTAGATCATAGATAATTACATACTTTTAAAATTTTGACATAATTTCAGATTTAACTACATTTGCTTTATCTTTCTGTTATCCTCCCCCCGTTTTTAATCTGTATGTGTGTGTAGATATAACATATAAACATGTAATGTATGTATGTATGTATGTACCTATATATGTATGTGTATATATAAACATATATGTATATATGCACATATATATATAAAGTTTTGAATTGCTTAGGAGTAAATTGCGCATCATAACACTTTAACCTAAAATACTTGAGTGTATATTTCTTGCAAACAGGATTTACCTTATATAATCACAGCAAAATTATCAGTACTACACACATGGGACTCTTTCCCAATCTCTAGACTTATTGAAATTTTGTCAGTTTTCCCAATAATATCCTTTATAACAAAAGCAAATCCAAGATGATACATTGAATTCAGTTGCAATGTTTTTTTAGTCTCCTTTGATCTGAAACAGTTTTTCAGGAGAACAAACTGTTATGTTGTATAATGTCCCTTGAATACCACAGAAGAGGATGCTTAGTGTAACCTATCAGAAGGCACATGTTGATGATCCCCATAACTGGTAATGGTAGCTTTGATAATTTTGTTAAGGTGATGTCTACCATATTTCCATATTTTTCTATGTAAAGTTACTATTTTACCTTTTGTATTTTAAAAAGTATCTTGTCTAGCCCACCATAGTGAGAGAATCAGAAGTCAGCTTTTGTTCTTTTTTTTTTTTTATTTTATAAATACAGACATGGTCTCACTATATTGCCCAGGTTGGTCGTGAACTCCTGGGCTCAAGCAGTCCTCCTGTCTCAATCTCCCAAAATGTGTCAGCCACTGTATCTGGACAGAAGTCAGCTTTTTTTTTTTTTTTTAATAATTTTAGAAAAAAAATTTAAAAGGCACTCCTCGCTCTGTCACCCAGGCTGGAGTGCAGTGATGTGATCTTACCTCACTGCAACCTTTGCCCCCACCCCCACAACCCGCCCGGGCTCAAGCGATCCTCCCACTTCAGGCTCCTGAGTTGCAGAGACCACAGGCGTGTACCACCACTTCTGGATCTTTTTTTGGTATTTGACTAGAGACAGGACCTCTCCACGTTGCCCGGGCTGGTCTCAAACTCCTGAGCTCAAGCAATGCCCGCCTTGGCCTCCCAAAGTACTGGGATTAGAGATGTGAGTCACCATGCCCAGACAGAAGTCAGCTTCAAAAAAAAATTAATTCAACATCATATTAAAAGTATTTTCACGTATTTGTAAGCCTTATTTTAACAGCTGTGGAGGTATATAAACTTTTTTTCGGGTTAGACATTTAGATTACTTTGATTTTTACTGCTATTTTAAAAAGAAAATGCTGCTACAAGTACGTTTTTCTATAAAGCTTTTTCTGTGATTAGGGTTGTTTTATAGGGTAGCTTCTCAATGTAGCATCACCAGGACCCAGGGAATATTTTTAAGGCTGTTTTTAAGGCTTGAACGTCCTGATATACTAAAAGTAAGGAAGTCCCTAAAGAGTGATAGAGACATGTCACAAGGACACGAAAGCCAGTTTGAAGAAACTCCCAGTGGCCAAATATGGGACAGTTTGAACAGGGAAATAATGAGGATAAGGATTAGAGCTTATTGAATAAAACAAGAAGCCACGAGTCTACACTGATGTAAGTAGAGAGAGAGAGAAGGGTGAATTCTTTTGTAAAATTGCTTTTCAAAAGAATTATACCAATTTATATTTCCACCATTAAAAAATGTGTGTACTCTTTAAACTTATCAGAGCTGGACATGGTGGTGCCCACCTGTAGGCCCAGCTACTTAGGAGGCAGGAGGACCACTTGAGCCCAGGAGTTTGAGACCAGTCTGGGCAATGTAGCAAGACCCTGTCTCTAAAAATTAAAAAAAAATTTTTTTTTAATCTTGTGGGCTTATACTTTGAGAAAATGTGAATGTATTATTATGTACATTGATGATTCTAGCTGGAATTATTACTGTAATGGTTGACTTTTTTAAATTATTACTGTAATGGTTGAATTATTACTGTAATGGAGATTTTCTTTCTTTTTTTTTTTTTTTTTGAGACGGAGTCACTCTGTTGCCCAGGCTGGAGAGCAATGGCATGATCTCAGCTCACTGCAACCTCCGCCTCCTGGGTTCAAGCCATTCCCCTGCCTCAGCCTCCCAGGTAGCTGAACTACAGGCATGCGCAATCATGCCTGGCTAATTTTGGTATTTTTAGTAGAGATGGGGTTTCACCATGCTGGCCAGGCTGGTCTTGAACTCCTGACCTTAAGTGATCTGCCCACCTTGGCCTCCCAAAGTGTTGGGATTACAGATGTGAGCCACCACACCTGGCCAACAAATGGTGATTTTTCTCATCTGATCATCCCTTCTACATTTGTTAGTTGGCTTTCTACTGTAAGGAAAAGCTATTCCTTCCCCTGACCTTCTGTTTATCAGTGTAGACTCGTGGCCTCTTTTTTTATTCAGTAAGTTCTCATCCTTACCATCATTATTTCCATGCTCAAAATGTCCCAGACTTGGCCAGTGGCAGTTTCTTCAGACTGGCTTTTGTGTCCTTCTGACATGTCTGAATCATTCTTTGGAGACTTCCTTACTTTTAGTATGTCAGGATGTTCAAGGCTTATCTTACCCTTTCCCTGACCCAATCTGAAATGAACCATTTTTCTGAAAAGCCCTAGTTCCTTTTAGTGGAGATTGATATTGCAGACCAAGATCTGGGCCCTGGATGTGCTCCTTGCTACTGCAGTGAGACTGCTTCCAAGGTCTTGTCAGATGACAGACCTCGGGAATTAAAATAATATGTATATGTAATATAGATGTGTATGTGTATATGTATATATATATACACACACACATATGTGCACACATATATATACAACACCTGTGCACATTTATATTCATTTTTATATATCTATCAATATATATTAAAACTTATTAAATTTACACTGGTATCTCCAATTGCAATCCCAATACCTCTGATTTTTTTTTTTTAATTTTTTAAAGTTCAAGGCTACGTGTGCAGGTTTGCTATATAGTTTATATATATAAACTTGTGTCATGGGGGTTTGTTGTACAGATTATTTTATTACCCAGGTATTAAGCTCTCATACCCATTAGTTATTTTTCCTGATTCTCCTCTTCCTCCTGCCCTCTGTCCTCCCATAGGCCCCAGTATGTATTGTTCCCCTCTGTGTCCATGTGTTCTCATCATTTATCTTCCACTTATTTTTTATTTTTATTTATTTGTTTATTTTTTTTGAGACGGAGTTTCGCTCTTGTTACCCAGGCTGGAGTGCAAAGGCGCGATCTCGGCTCACCGCAACCTCCGCCTCCTGGGTTCAGGCAATTCTCCTGCCTCAGCCTCCTGAGTAGCTGGGATTACAGGCACGCGCCACCATGC